AAAAAAAAAAAAAAAAAAAAAAAAATGACGGTAACAGAACAAGCAAATATATTGCAAGAAAGTAATGTCATCAAAAAACTGTCACAGTATCTCAGCTCTTTTTTCAGAATTAAAAACTATCAATAAATTAAACTGCACATTACAAACGTTCAAAATATCGCTCATGGGTTAAAAGTGTGACACCGACCTGTTTTTGTGGATGATGGATTTATGACTTTACTCGAAACGGTAGGAATACCTCCATTTGTTAGTTTTGACAATAGCTGAGCCTCTAGCATAGCTTCATCTTCTGGCTCCTCCCTTACCAACGACTTTCTTCTGAGAACCAAATCACGAATCTGCTGCTTCAATAATGACTGATAACCAACAAATGGTAAAGTGGAGCCTAATCCTCGCGGATCGAGTTTTCCAGAAACGTGAGAACAACCTTCTAAACCACCAAAATTTCACACTGCACTACGTGATTCCAAAAGGTACACTTAAAACTTAAGACTACTTTCTACGAGTTATGCCAAATAAAGAGGTACCTAATAGGAGTCCAACAGAATCGCTGGAGCCTGAACTCCATCCAGAGCAGCCAGGGGCAACAAAATTGTTCTTATAAAGAGATGGCATTGAAAAAAATGGCGAAAGTTGCGCCTGAGCGAGAAGAGCACTCATTTCCAACTGTAACTGATTCCCAATAAGATTTGGAAGCGAAGGCGACTGTAATACGTGTGCAGCAGTTAAAGGTGTTTGGTCTATAGAAGACCCCGGACTTACACCAGTATCCATTGGTACGTCACTTTCACTTCTAAACAAGTTCAATAAAGAGGAATTTAAATGTTGAATTTACACCTTTTAAAACCAAAATCATCGTAAGATTTATCCAACCTTACTTTATTCAAAAAAGCATGTACATTCAAAAAATAAAAATTTAAAAGCACAAAAATAACATTAAAATGCAGCATATTTTCAAAACAAATACCTCTCTAAAGAAGGCTGAGGATAGCTGAATGCGCTGTTTTGATGAATCTGGACAGGACTAGAACCTTTGCTGAGTAATTTTGCGCGAATACGCATCTTTAAATTTGGCTCACTATTAACTTTGCGCAGCTGATGCTCAGGTGGTAAAGCTCCACGATTGGCATGAACTGTTGTTGGAAGTGGATAAGGCTCATAATGAGGGGAAGAAACTGCAACAGTTATGGCAGGGACAGAAGTAGTTAAAGCTGAACTACCAGGCACAGACTGCTTCAATGATGAATTTTCGGCACCGGCCCAGGTGGCTAAAAATCGGCATGTTGTCATCACTGTTAAATTGCTACACTCTGGGACGCTTCTTACTGACTCCATATCTAACTTTTACCTTTTAAACTGCTATGACAACTAATGAAGTAACGAATATAAAACGGAAAAAATTTAGGACACAAGCTGAGGATAAAGAAACAGCTTTGAAAATTACCTGAAGACGATGATGGCACCGTATTTTGCATCCAGTTTGATGAAATATTGGTCTGCGATGAAGTTCCCCCACTGTTTTCACTTCGATTACGATTCTTTTTTAAAGCAATCATACTTTTTAACCGATCCCTTGTTGTCTGAGATATTGTCTGTCCAGAACCAGAAAGGGACCTATGTAGCGACCTATAAAAAATTCCATTACAAGTCTTGGCCCCTGTATGTTGGATAAGTCTAATGAAGAAATTTTGCATATCCAGTATTTAAGACTCAGAAACCTGATAATGTCGCAAAAAATTTTATCTATGACAGCATTTAAAACTAATTAAAAAATTGTCGATTTCTTTTACTCCACTAACGAAACAAAGCAAAATGCATCAGAACCTTCTAGCTCGGCCAGTGTGACTATCCCCTCGTGGTGACGGTGACATCTGTTGTGAATCAGTTTCCACAACATTTTCAGGTACATTAACTGCAGCATTCGCTACGGGATTAACAGCTTGTGAAGTAGTCTGCTGCTGCTGCTGCTGCTGAATCTGCTGTAGTAATTGTAAACAATCGATCTGTTGCATCTGTACATTCAAAGACGCTCGCGCTCTTTGGAATTCTGTTAGTAATTCCAACTGCTTTTGCTGGTAAATCTTAAAAAAAGAAAAACAAATATGAATTGCCACACCGCAACATGTTATAAAAATAATTAGAAAATTTTAGTAAAATCATAAATGAAAAAATTCCTTAATTTGTCAAAAATTGAAAACTACAATGACATGGCATTTTCATGCACAATCTAAAAATTCAGTTACTTCAAGTACTAGTGCTGAATTGAAAACTGTTAAATAAAAATTGAAGTTTCAAATTAAATGATGGTAACGAGGTGAATGATAACAGTAATGATAATAAAGATAACAAAATAACAACATTAAAA